GCTGTCAAGTATTCATTTAATTAAATAAATGAATTATCACCGAAACAATGAAACAAGGGTTGGTGATATACCCTTGTGCCTTTGTCCGAATCTCAGTTCATATGTACGTTTGGTTCTGTCTTGTCTACGAGTTATAGAAAGATGTATAGCGCACCAACGTTTCCAAGAATTCTAATTCCATTCGAGCATTCGCGAACACCGTCCGATATTTCATGTACAGCCTTGTCGAGTATCCTTTGAACACTATCTCACAGCATTCTATGAATCATTTCAGTTCGTTCTGTTGATAACAGCCCAACAGGTTGAGAATTTATGGTTCCGTTCCAAGTGATTTCTGCATACTACTCGTAACCTTCATCGTAAAGCCTCCTAACTGTTTTAACCGGAATGCATTCCTAGAATATGAAACTAGGCAATAGGAGAATTATGAACGCGTATCGAAGAGAAAATATTCTCATTAATTTACTTTTGAGTCTACTCCGTATCGTTGGATGAAAAAGTTTCTTCTCCTCGGTTAATTAAGCATAAACGAGCTCAGAACATTGTATTCTTAAGCGTTCTCCTCTTTATAAGTTTTTGCACTGTGCTAATTAACCTTGTTGGCATTTGCATTGCTTTACTCTGCGTTTCTTGTCAAACACTCAGCTTCTTTCAGACGTTTTCCAAGGATGTTGGCGTCTTGGTCTCGTTAGCTGAGCGTGTATTGGCAAATATCGTTCTTCTGGTTGATCATGGCGCGTCCGTAGCTATTCCTTGATACTGGAAGAAAGAAATCGCCCGTTGTAGGTCGGAGCAATTAATCAAATTCGCGAAACGGGGTGACGTCGGGCGCTTTGAATATTCAGCTGATACCGTGTTATGAAGAAAAGTAAAGTATATTCGTTTCATCAGTTAATGACTTTCTCCACGCACGGGAGACACGGTGGATCAAAGTTCCTCGCGAATCCTTTTCCTTTCTCTACAAATAAAATGTTAATGGATCGTTCCGATGTACTGGATTAATGGATACGAGGTTCTTCAGATATTTAACTCTTTGAGTGCGAGAGGTAATTTTCATACATATCCGAAAAATGCCAGACAATTTTAAGCAAAGATACATGATTGTAACCAAAAATGTATATTTCGGTCAACTTTATTTTAAGATTCATAAAATTTGTACACAATATATAATATGTTAGATTTCCTTTATTACTAAAAAAATTAAAATTAAACGGTATAGGTTTAACATAGAATAAATTTGTATAAAGAAAATATTTTCATAAAAACTTGAATTTGAATTTTGTTTGTAAAGAAACATAATTTTTTGTCTTTTAAAATGAATTTTTTCATATATCTTTTCTTTATTCATAATTTTTATACGTAAACATATGGTTTTGAAATAAGCGTTCACATACAATTGTGCTCTTTTAGACACAATCGATGGATGCCTTATTTGCATATTGAACAAATAATACAGGACCTTTTTTATTGGGCCTCCATCCTTATTGGAGCGTACAATACAATTTTGTTTAATGAGTTATTGGACTTACAGCTTCGAGCAGCGTGATATCGCTCTTGTTCCTTTCTTTGCAAATGTATGGAGGAGCGATATTTCACTCAAAGGGTTAAGGAGCTCTGTCCGGAGATTTTCCTGTAAGTTATTTCTAGGATTACAATTGATGCTTGCAAGTTAAGAATGCAAACCTTCAACGATTTTCTCGACATACAAGTTTTGCTTCAATTTTATTCTTCCCGAGTTGGACGATTATACAGTAAAATGTACGAATCATTAATTAAGCAAGAACTCCTGATGCCGCGACGCTGACTAAACTCGCTTTTATTGTCTGTCCCTATTTGTTTGTTCGTTTAACGTTCCCATTATACAGGCCAAACATAACGCGAAACGTAGCGTTCCCTGTATCGCGTAACCTGATTCACCGCATAATAGCACCGCTAATAATCGTAGCGGTGGATTGATATACCGCGTGTAAAATGCGGCTTTTCCCCAGCTGTGCGATCTCATATACGAAATGACCAGCATCCTTATCGGTAGGAATTTCACACTGGTGTACAGTGTGATATTTCAGCGATCTAGCGGGACAAACAGTAATTTTCGAAATGTTCACGTAAGTTTTGTCCCGCTAGATCGCTGAAACATCACACTGTGCGGTAGTTCTTAACTTTTTTAATCTCACTATGAAGTATAGAACTCGAATTGATTAATTTAATACTACATCTGAGGTGTGTATGATTCTCTGGTGCAACAATCGTGATTAAGAATATTTAATTACATTTGCAGAAAATATTCCTGTGCAATTTGATTATATTTGAGACAAGGAGGCGTGCATTAAAAAAGATACAATCACTGAAACTAGGTGTCGGCACGAAGAGTTTCATAAACCACTGTATTGTGTACTCGGGTCGATAAAAGTTACACGGATCTCGGCCGCGTGTTACACGAAATTGCCTAGATCCTGGAAATCGTCCAGATCGTTGCACGAATTGAATGATTAATAAAAAGAAATATTACTGTACAGCCATAATACTAAATTGCAATCACGAAACGTATACTTTGCGAACGTTTCATCTTAAACAAGATCAGCAACGCAACCGGAAAGTCCTTTTTCGCGAGTACTGGCGTTAAAGGGGCCTTCTGACATGATTATGTGAAAGCGACACTGCGAAAGATAATATTTATAACTGCTGAAAATAATCGAGGATTATTGTAGTCGCTATCAGCGTGGATGCACCAGCTTACTTAGCTTGTACCTTTTTATGACGATGTAGATAAAATTCGATAGGATTGTTTTCCTTCTACGAAGCCTATCAATGTGTACGTTTCTTTATCGTTTGTTGAATATTGTGTAGACATTGATGTCGAAAGGAATATCGTGTTCGATGATCGCGTATCTCGAGCAGAACAAGTATGACTAGATACGCGGTCAGATAAGTGGGTAGATTGTCTGATAGACAGTGTGCCAATGTCGCTATTCGTGTTATACATACACATAGAGTCACTAGTGTTTATATCACGATAATTTACCACGGAACATACATACTACTTAGGATCAAAATTAGTGGGTCTCTCAATGCCACAACATAGACGAAAACTTGGATGAAACTAGACTGAAACTGTAAATAATGGGTATTTAGAACTTTTTATTTCTTTACATGAACTTACAAAATCTTGAAACACCAACGCAAGTGGAAATAGCGAGTTATGGTCAGACACTCCCGCCAAATCGTCCCCAAGCACAATCGTGCCTCAAGTATGTATGTTCAAAGCCCAATCTCTCGAAAACGAAGCCCCTTATGACAAAACTGAACACTATCTTTTCCATTCATTTTTTTCACGCAGAATGACCACGTTGTCGCTCGGACCTCCAACTACTAAAATACTCCATATAATATTTAAATAAAATTTCTCTCGTACGTGGACAACGCGAATAAACTCTGGTGCACAAAGTGAATGGTTGCGGCGCAGAGTTGAAATAACACGCTCGCCGTTTCGATCTTAATTACATAACCTCGTATTTATCTTTGGGAGGTGGCAGGCGAGGGGTGAGGGGAGGTGTGAGCGAATCGCGCAGAATCCACGTGGTACCCCGAGCCAGGCAATTAAGCTGTGGCGAAGAACGGCGAGAAGCTATTAACTCGGTCAAACGGGCCACGGGCTCGGATTGTTGCTATACTTTCGCGATAATGGAGAATTAATAGAGCCGACGAGGAGGCATAGGGAGTTCGAACCAGGAAAAGTTCTCGATATCCGTCGTCATCGTCTCGTAACACGGACGTGCACCGCGAGACGGTAGACGGTTAATTAAGGAAACCGTTAACTGGGGGGAAGCCGACTTATCTGCGACGATTCGCTGCTAAGTTACCTAACAGAGCAAATGTTTCAGAGTTTCAATCAGTTTTCCCCCCCGGCCTCACTCTTTTTCTTGGCCGTCGTCCTCGAATAGCTACTTTGCAGTCGTTGCCATAAGACGCTCTTGAATGCGATTATAATAAATTCTTCCCTGAAAGTTGCCGAAGTACTCGAATCCGCTTTCGATGATAATGGCCGCGCGGGGAGGGCGCAGAAGGAAGGGAGAGAGCGTCGCGAAGCGGTTCCGTCACCCCGTCTTTCAGCCAGCGATGGCGGGATTACGATTTACATGACAAACCTTAAAGCTCCGTGGCGTTACTTAACGACTTCCTCGCGGGGCTGTATCAGAACCACGGGAACATTGTGCTTCCCCTCGTTTTCCTCGTTAAATAGCCCCCACGGCCACCGTCGTTTGTATTGCTAAGCGTTTTCGAGCGACCCGCGAAAATTAACCCCTTAATAGCCTATTTTTCGTTTTTACACTTCAACTAACAAATATGGTACACTTTTTTCCTCTTCTATAAAATATCACGAAACGTATAAATCAACGTTTAATCTAATCTAACTGCACCTGGCACGGCCATTTTCAAATCTGCCAGTACGAATGGGTAAAATTTTATTGCGATAATCTAACGAATATAAACACCCCGTTGCGATTTATCTGCTACGTTTACTCGATTGGTTAGCTGTTCAGAAAAGCTTTTACGCATTTCCCCTGAAATTTAATTTAGATTTATAATTGAGATCGGACTTTTAATCGAACGAATAACGTATCGAAAGATATTTACCTTCATAATTATAATATACACTACCGCTCAAAGCAACTGAACCATAAAGACGTACTATAGTATTCCGTTGTATCATATTATTTTTATCTTTCTTATTAAACTTTGTTTTATCCGTAAGTATCTGTGTTCATTATATCACAGCAACATCACGCAACTCCACTTTAATTGATTTCACGTATATAAATATATTAATATATTTATCGTTCGTTAGACGTGTCTGTATATGTAAATCATGGGAGTGTGCGTTAGAGAGCTGAAAAAGACAATTCCCTCGTTTTTTGTCTGTGGATCTAATAGGGCACCGTCGCGTCGTTTATTTTTTCTGGTCGCGTATTTACCGTCTCATTTTGTTTTCTGTGTTCCAGGTGACTGCTTAGGATCCACCCGTACAGCGACTACATGCAGGTAGGTACATCTACTTTTCATTTACAAGTCGCTTGCGTTAAGTTTTACTTCAGAAGACCCTTATCAACGGAGATATCGGGTAATGAGGTTCAATGAGATACAAATTAAAGTGGAAACTATTCAAATATTTTACAGATATTCGAATACTACATGCAAGTCTCGAATATCATTAGAGTATTGTTATACATTCTACAGAATGTATAATTATATAATACAGACTAATACAGATACATACAAACATAATACAGAATGTATACTTACATTTTTACAGAATATATTCCGCGACAAAAACGTACGAAAGTCTACACCGATGAGAAGGAATTAATATTCAACAGCTTCAACCGTTCCCGTTTGTAATTGCTTTCCATTTAACGAGATCGGTTAAACAGCGAACGTCCCTCGTGCAACAAACAAATTTGTCCAATATTCTCGTCCATTTTTTTGCCATCGCAAGCTTGGCGTAACCACGAACACGACAAAGGCATCGCGCCAGCGTAAAAAGAACGAATCGAACGTTCACAGTTCGCGAAATAGAAAACGGTGAAATGTATAATTTACAAAGCGAAAGTCGTTATGAATAACGTACGAATCCGACCGATTTATTCCGCGTTTCGATAACATAGGATGGGATGTCATATATTATTCCATGCATTGCTGCAACGAATTAAAACTCTTTTGTACGAATCTGTATAAAGGGTGGTCTTTAATCAGCAAATAATTAAACCTACAAGTAATAAAATAATATTCATAAATCTAGAAGACAAAATACAATGGAAATATTATTTTTTAAATTTGACATTAGCAATGAATTTAATTAACCAATTTAAAACGAGACAGGTATTGAACTACCCTGTATTTCCAATGAACCACACTGTATAAATCGAAGGGGTGGTAACACGTAATGCAGAAATAATCGGAGCCGCTGGGTGGTGGGTTAACAATTGAATTGACGCTGCGAAAATTGGATATTTCCAACGATCCCTTCGGCATCGCGCATCAATGGAGGGGTAGGAGCGCCATACGTCAAGTGAAATCTCATTGGTCCGTGGAATATTTCCGGTATTTTCCAAAATGCGATTTACTTGTGGCCAAAGTGTCGTTTTTCTGGAAAATCCCATTCAACGTGGGTTGTTCAAATATCACTCGATGAACAATGCTTTTCACTTCGCTACTCAGTGATCATAAGTTCCATAAAGCTGATCAAAATGGTAGTACTGCAATATTTATTTATTTTCATATTATTTTTCCGGCTGTGCAACCCGAATATTCTCGAAAGTAGAATACAATACCTAAAAATACCTAACACTTGATCAGCAGGAAATTAATTCATATTTCTCTTGACTAACCCAGAAGTTGAATTTTTAGAAACATTTTTGCCCGACTCTTTGGGATTTCCAACAACTACGTCATCACCGCTACGACGGATATCTAGTGGAGTGTCCAACTCCGGTATCCATTAAACGTGGATGGAGGGACCGGGGGGAAGGGAAAGAAATAGAGAAAGAAAATTATTTGTGGGTTGACTCGATAGCTCGATGACGAAGCCAGATAGAACGAGGCCACCGGCGTCGTATCCTATTGAACTTTCGTATCAAAATAGAAAAGAATTGTCTGTATCGTTGGGCTAACGATGCCAGCCATCGTCGCTGGTTCTATCTCCAGGGGTCGGGTACGCCTGGAGTCGGGTACGCAAATCGTCCACGAAATGGAAGGATCGTATATTTTTACATCGGTATATTTCTGCTCGATTTAATTAAACGCTCTGCAAACGTTCAGTGAAATGCACAGAGAAGATAATTGAATCTGAAGCGAGATGGATTGCTCGCTCGCGCTGTGCTACCCTTTGTCACCGAGCTTTATACGGAAGCTTGTCTCTCTAATCGACCAAGCTTTCGCAGTTGGATGGAAAAAGTAGGTCCTTTGATGGAGTATCGATGTGTGCTGCGACGGACATAATTTTAACGAGTTTTGGTGTTAAGTCGACGAGGATTTCGAAGCCCTTCTGTGAAAATAATGTCGGTTTTCGGTCTACGCTTAACTCATGCGGCACCCATTTTTCGAGCTTCTTTGACTTTCCTAGCTGTCTCAGGTGATCAATAACTGTTGGATGGCTTATACCTAACTCGTGTGCAAGTTGTCGAACCGTTGTTCGTGGATCAGCTTTAACCAATGTTCTTCATTTTCGAGGCTCTCATCGCCACTTCGAAATTTTTTGAACCAATGCTGCACCGTGCGTTCATTTACGGTATCCTCTCTAAACGCATCGTTGATATTACCAGTCGCAGTTGCAACTTTATGACCCAGTTTATATTCATATAAGAATATTAACACGAACTTGCTTAGTACCCATTGCGAAGTAAATAACTTGAAGTGAGGACAAATTAACAGTAAAAACAAAAGCATACCTATAAGCATGCAGCGCGACATCTTCACTGTAAGATGATATCGTAACGTGAATACAATAAAGTGAAGTGTTATCCCAAAACCAAGCGTCAAAGTTCGAAAGTTCGAAAACCGACATTAATTTCTTACCAACCAAATACATGAAATTTATTTCACGAAGCTAGTGTCTACATTGTCCTACATTGTTTACGAAAATATTTCTCTTTTACGCTTTTGTATACATTTTATACTTTCTTTTCTTTTAGGTTTTATGTAACATTTATTTTGTACTACTTCCTCCTCTTTTGGTCAAGGAAAAACCATTCCATCGTTTCCATTAACTACCCTCGCGTCCCGTCTTCAATCACACCCGTTTGCAGAAGGAAGGCTACTAAGTACCGCGTTCAATCACTCACCAGAAACTTGGCCCTGTAATTATTTCGAACGGAGCATTTGCCGGGTAGTGTATCCGTGATTTAGAGTAGTATTGTCAAAGACAGTCCATTACCATCCCGTTCGTTAAGTGTTCCTCCCTTTCAATTCCACTCGCATCTGCTTCCAGACGGAAAGACGTCGACACGTTTGATCACTGTCGCGAAACTTGATTCCGTAACTGTTTCAAGTAGTGCACCTACTTTCCCAAGCTCTCTGCTTACACGAAGACATTTGCTACCTGTTTTAGCTAATCACACAATTCGATGCCAAATCATAGCATCAACAGGAAACAATACGCGTCTTTTCTTCACACCAGGTGCTTGGATACTGAATTGTTAACAGCTACTATGCAGCAGGGAGTATTCTGTCGGAAGTGAGAACTAGTAGAGGTATCAAAAAGTTTCTGAACTGTCTCTATAAAAAGTGACAGACTTACCTGAGATTTTATTAGCCACCATCAAAGTGGTCCCTCTGGGAGTTGACGAAACGGTCCCGGCGATTCTGACATTGTTGGATCGACTTATGAAAGTTTTCTTTCTTCCTGGTATTCAGCAGAATCTTCTTTTGAATTATTATACCTAGTTACTGTCGCGACCAGCGATAACCCAGTTATTATAATCTTAAATTAAACTTATCCACAGGACTTATCCTCAGTCACGTTGGCTTTCGATACTAGCTCCAAGTTCGTACATCCCCCGCGTTTCTTATCCTCCCAAACTCGACAGCTGCGCTACGGTAAACAATGCCCGAAGCCGTTTTCACAGGTCAAGGAGCCGCGAACCGGCTAGGCTCGAGTAAGTCACGTTTTCGCACGTGGGGCCGACACATTCATCATAAAAAGCTCGTTACGGCACCACTTGTTGTCCGAGCCTCAAGCCTTTCGACGTGTCTACCGTGCCAGGAGAGCCTCGCGCCGTCGTTTCCTCCCGCAGCAAATTGAGAATAAAAGTGCCCGTGTTGGATCGCCGTCAATCCTCGTTCCCTTCATCGCGCGTTGTCCTAAACGTTGCCAAACTACGAATTCCATCTTATTTTCTCTTGTTCCGCTTTCATTTCTCCGTGAACGTAGCGTTTCAATCGACGACTGTTGTGCGCATTTACGTTGAGAATTCGAATTTTTTCATTCCATCTTGTCCCTCGATAAAAAGAGTCCATGATATATTTTCGAAATTTTAGTGTTGCTATGTGACTAATTTCGAAGATTTTCGAGTATGTTATTTTCACGATGAACGTTGATCCATGATTGAGATAAACTTGGTTAATTATTGAGAACTTCTTCCATTAGTTAACTACTCGAGATTTCGAACGTGATGCACTTTGATTCGAAGCTCGGATATCGGAACTTTGCTATTTTAGTACGTAAATTATATATCTCGTGAAATTCGAGTAATTTCGAAGGCGAGGTTTCGGCGGCTGAAAACAGACGGAACACAGCGTTACGATTCTTCGTAGGGAATCTGGGTAATTAAGGGAAAATCCAGTGTAGTGTTAAAAGCTTAAAAAGTTTCGAGGGACAGAGTGAGCTCTCGGGATATGTCGAAAGAGTTGGCTACTCCACGGATTAACATCAGTTTCGTGAATACGGTTCACGTTTTGTATTCCGTGCTTTCAATTACCTTGCGTTCCGAAGTATGAACTTTTCACTTCATTTGCCCAATTACCAGATATTCCACACAGACGTGAAACATGTACGATTGTAGCTTTATGTTTGCTCGGGGTGTGTTGTACAAGACCAAGAAAGATAAAAGTAGGTTAAAATGTCTATCTCCGCGGGAGACTCGTGTTTTAACGGGTCTTTGGCTTGGAGCTAAAGTTTCCTCATTGTGGAATATCGTCTGGGTTTTTCAGAACGAAACTCCCGGAGTCCTTTTGGTGCTCCTGAACGATACTTAGGTGGTCAGGAGTAAAACAAATTTTTTTAAGAAATAGTTTAAACATGAATTCGGATGCGAGTTAGGAAAATGTCTGTAGTTAGAAGCTGGAAAGATAATCTTATGGTTAAAGGGATTGTAGTACTATGTGTGAGAGGAATGTAGATATCCAATTTCGTAGTAGTTTTGCTTACTTCGCAATTCCTTAGAGGGATCGATTTCTTATCTCTGCGCAGCACTGAACGGCGTGTTTGCATTGCGCGAAGTTAGGATACGATAGCGCACGAATATAGTGTGTCTTGTCCTAATATA